ATTTTTGTGATCAACTTTGTAGCCTTTTGGAATATCCATATAAACATCCTCTTCCAAATCACCATTTAGAAACGCGTTATTTACATCTAGTTGTATCAATGGCCATGATTGTTGTGCAGCTATGGCTAGTAACATCTTGACAGTGACAAGTTTGGCTACCGGTGAATATGTATCAAGAAAGTCAACACCTTCAAGCTGATTGAATCCTTTGGCAACTAGTCTTGCCTTATATCGCTCAATTGAACCATCCGATTTTCGTTTAATTTTAAATACCCACTTACAACCCAATGGTTTTCTGTCATGAGGCAAAGGAACTACTTTCCATGTATCACTAACTTCCAAAGCAGTGAGTTCATCATTAATAGCATTTTGCCATTCAATTGACTTTATGGCTTCAGAATAAGATTTTGGTTCAATTTGAGATGATACAGACAAGGTATAAACTCTATGTGTTGAAGAAAGTTTGTCATATGAAATGACATCCGATAAAGGATAACGAGTATTATGTTTAGGCAAAGGTGTACCTTGTAAAAGATGACAATGATAATCTTGTAAATAGGCTGGAGGAACACGATTACGAACAGGTCTATTTGGTAAAATGTGTTCAGGTACAGGTTCAGGCTAAGAATTATGAGAATTTGCAGAATCATACTGAGGTGAATGTGGCTCAGGTGAAACAGGTGAAGAAGGTGAATTTGGTTCAAATGAATTGTCAATAACAGAATCAAAAACATTTTCTGAAACAATTGGAATAACATGTTGAGCAAAAGGATCTATTTGATCTTTGAAAGTAGTATGTTGATAAGGGAAAATTGTTTCATGGAAGATTACATCTCTTGACAAAAATACCCTTTTTGTTTCCAAATCAAGTAATTTGTAACCTTTGACACCAATAGGGTAACCAAGAAAAACACAAGCAGTGGCACGTGGTTCAAACTTAGTTCTTGCAGCTTGTAATGTGGATGCAAACACAAGACATCCAAAAGAGCGTAGAATAGAATAATCTGGTTTCACATGATAAAGCACTTCAAAAGGAGAAAGATGATCAAGAACTTTTGAAGGTGTTCTATTAATCAAATAAGTAGCACATGATAAGCATTCTGTCCAATAATCAACAGGAATCTTGGATTGAAAGAATAAAGCACGTGCAACATTAAGCAAATGTTGATGTTTACGTTCTACTACTGAATTTTGTTGAGGTGTTTGAACATTTGAAAATTGATGAAGCACACCTTTTTCATTGAAAAAATCAACAAACTTTAACTCCTGTGCATTATCAGAACGAAACACTTTGATATGAGCTCCAAATTGATTCAAAACCATGGAAAAGAACTTTGGTATAACATGTTGAACCTCTGATTTATGTTTAATCAAATATATCCATGTGAATCTTGAATGATCATCAACTATGGTGACAAAATATCGATGCCCTTGATATGAATTAACATGAAAGGGTCCCCAAATATCACAGTGAATAAGATCGAAAGATTTACTAGCAACATTGTTTCTACATACAAAAGGAGATCTCTTTTGTTTTGCTAATGGACAGATCATACAAACATGTTTATCTGCCTTTTTATTCAATGACAACTCATTACTTGTTGAGTATGAATCCACAGAAATGTTGAGTGTGAATCCACAGAAATGTTGAGTGTGAATCCACAGAAAAGCTGGTCAAAAATGGCAGGAACAATGTGAAGTTGTGAAGCCACAATTGTTGAATGAAGACCCAGTTGTGTTTTTTGACTACTTCTGATTTCCATCTCTATATAAGAGATTATTCTGTATTTGTAAAACTTGTATCTAGTGTAACACAGAAAGAGTGCAGATTAGCACCAAGAAATGTAAATTCCTAGTTACCGGTGGACGTAGGTCAGAGAAGGACCGAACCACGTTAAATCCCTCATGTTCATCCTTGTGTTCTTGTTTTTCGTGAGTTGTGTGTGTGTTTAGAGTCGTGTGTTAAGTGTCTCGATCCTAACAAGTGGTATCAGAGCAAGGTTGTAGCTCCAGAATGTGATTTTAAGTTTTTGGTCGAAATTTTTTTTCGTCAAAAACGATTTTGGTGGATACCGTTGGAAAAGTCTCGTTCCGAAGATTCCGAAAATATTTTTTTCTGAATTTTTTGACCACCGGAAGACGTCCAAATCGCCGGTCAAAGGTTACCAGAATAGTGACCGGAAAAACCAGTTTGGCCGGAGAAGACGACACTGTAGACCGGAGTTCCGCCGGAGAAGACGACACTATAGCAACACTGTAGCAGATTTGAAAAATTGCAGTTTAGCCCCTGAACTTTTAGAAAATTGCAGTTTAGCCCCTAAACTTTCAGAAAATTGCAGTTTAGCCCCTAATCTTTCAGAAAATTGCAGAAAGCAGTAAGCTTCAGATTGAGAAGTTTGATGGGAAAGATTTTGGTTGGTGGAAGATGCAAATTGAAGATTTGCTCGTACAGAAAGACTTGGACGCAGTTTTAGGTGAAAAACCGGAGGCGATCACACAAGCAAACTGGGAGACTTTGGATAAGAAGGCCAAGGCATTTATTAGACTGACTTTGTCAAAGGATGTTGCCTTCAATATTTTGAAGGAGACCTCGGCAAAGGGAATCATGGAGGCATTGTCTAATATGTACGAGAAGCCGTCGGCAGCAAATAAAGTCTTCCTGATTCGGGAACTAGTCAACACGAGGATGAGGGAAGGAAGTTCAGTTACAGTACACATCAACAATTTGAACTCGATTTTATCCAGACTTGGGTCAGTGGGAATAAAATTTGAGGACGAAGTTCAAGCTTTACTACTGTTATCATCATTACCTGACAGTTGGTCCGGAACAGTTACAGCCGTTACTAGTTCCGCAGGATCGAAAGAGCTCACTTTTGAGGGAATTCAGGATTTAATTCTAGGCGAAGACGTCAGACGAAGAAATTCCGGGGAATCATCAAGTGAACAATTGAATGCGGTCAGAGGTAGAAGAAATAACAGAGGTAGTGGGAGCGGGAACAGGAGAAGGAGTCAGTCGAGGACTCGAAATGATGTGACTTGTTGGAACTGTAAAGAGGTTGAACATTTCAGGAATCAATGTCCAAAAGACAAGAAAGAAGTTAACTTTGCAGTAGACCATTCAGATGATGATGTTTTGATATGTAGTGTGGAGAGCAATGTGGATTCCTGGGTTATGGATTCGGGTGCTTCATTTCACGCTACCCACAACCGTGAAGCACTGCGGAATCTGAAAGAAGGGGATTTTGGTAAGGTAAGACTGGCAAACGATGAGGTTCTTGATGTGACGAGCATAGGTGACTTAGTTTTGAAGACTCCAGTTGGTCCATGGACTTTGAAGGATGTCCGGGTAATTCCAAGTCTGAAGAAACAGTTGATTTCTGTTGGGCAGTTGGATGAACAGGGACACGAGGTTAAGTTCAGGAATGGGCAGTGGAAGGTTGTCAAAGGAAATCTTGTGATCGCTCGTGGACATAAGAGGGGTTCATTATATATGGTTAGTTTACCGTCTGAGGGAGTAACCGTCCCAGTTCAGAAGAAAAACAAAATCCGGTTCATAGAGTCTCGTGGACAGAAGAAGGTTTGCTTTGCAGATGGCAAACCCAGAGTCACAGGTCAGATTCAGGTTAAACGTGTTTGGAACGGTTCAGAAAAACCAGTCAAGGGCATTCATAGCAGTGGGAGCATGGGCTTTGTTTCAGCTAGAATACCCAGAACACAGTGGGTTAAGAGAACCAGTATTCCATCTGTAAAAGTCTCTCCAGATTATCTGCTTCACATGGAGAGTGTCGTTTGTTCTCAGGATGTTCCAGGATCGGGCAGTTCATTTCAGTGGGAGCCGATGGAGACAGAGAACAGGTCAGTGGCAGACTTAGCCATGACTGATGTGTTGGAGCTAACGAAAGCTTCAACTGGCCTTCAGGTTAATTGAAGAGAAGGCCAGGGTAACTAGGAAGGAGTTAAGATCAAATACAGATGCACAGTTGAAACACAGGTGAAGATTGTTCTGTGGCTTCAAGTGGGAGATTGTTGAGTATGAATCCACAGAAATGTTGAGTGTGAATCCACAGAAATGTTGAGTGTGAATCCACAGAAAAGCTGGTCAAAAATGGCAGGAACAATGTGAAGTTGTGAAGCCACAATTGTTGAATGAAGACCCAGTTGTGTTTTTTGATTACTTCTGATTTCCATCTCTATATAAGAGATTATTCTGTATTTGTAAAACTTGTATCTAGTGTAACACAGAAAGAGTGCAGATTAGCACCAAGAAATGTAAATTCCTAGTTACCGGTGGACGTAGGTCAGAGAAGGACCGAACCACGTTAAATCCTTCATGTTCATCCTTGTGTTCTTGTTTTTCGTGAGCTGTGTGTGTGTTTAGAGTCGTGTGTTAAGTGTCTCGATCCTAACATTACTAATCTGCATGAGTTTCTTATTTGAAGGGTGCCCAAACCTTTGATGCCATTGCTGTAGAGAAATAGTGTTGATAGAACTAGTTTGTAACTCTTGATCAAGCAGATATAGACCTTCCTTCACACTACCCTTGCCAATCATCATCTTGTTGTTCATCTGATGTATAAGGGCATAATCATGATAAAGAGCAACCATGCCATTTTTTTCCTCAGTTAGGGAAGTAACAGAAATGAGATTCAACTCAAATTGAGGAACATAAAGAACATTTTTGAGGATAAGATGATCATTCAATTGTAAATTACCCACTAAATGCACTTGAATAAGCATTTGATTTGGTAATTTGACACGAGTATTAAAAACCTTTTTAATATCAATAAAAAGTTTTTCATCATTGCAAATGTGTCTAGTAGCTCCAGAGTCTATGATCCAAACATTAGACTTATAATTGCCAGATACAGTATTCAGAATATAATGGTTACCTGCTTTAAATTCTTGAGTAGTAACTGCATTGGAAGAAGCTAATTTCCCTGAAAACATAGCAATAAATTGCTTGCACTGCTCATCACTTAGCCCGGTTACAACATCATTAAAACCAGAGAAAGAAGAATTGTTCACTTGTTCAGTAGAAACAGAATTAGCTCTTGAATTATTGTTACCATTTGTGAACTTGAAACCAGGTGGAAATCCATGCAATCTGTAACATTTTTCTTGTGTATGACCCGATTTCTTGCAATGAGTGCAATAAACTTGATTCTTTTTGAAATTCTTATACTGATTATTGTTAACAGATTTTGATCCATTTGTGTCTCGAACATTAAAAGCAACAGCAGATTGAGACATTTGAGAAACACTTACAGACATGTGTCGCTCTTCTTGAATGATAAGAGAAAAAATGCGATTAACACTTGGAATAGGGTCCATTAATAAGATCTGGCCACGAATTTGTGAGAAATCATCATTCAGACCTATAAGAAAATTCATAGCCTGCTCTGTTTCTTTGGCTCCACCACAGGTGCATAAACCACAAGTACAATGCATGTTGTAATTTGCCAATTCTTCCCATAATACCTTTAATTTGGTGAAGTATGTACTTACAGTATCTCCTCCTTGAGTAACATTCATGATATCACGTTTGATTTGGAAAATTCTAGGGCCATTACTTTGCTGAAAACGATCTTTAAGTTCTTTCCAAATATCCTTTGCAGTCTTGAGATAGATCACTGATGCTGCAATTTCTTTCGAAATTGAATTGAGGATCCAGGAGATAATAATGTTGTTGTTACGAGACCAGGATTTGCATCGGACAAGA